GTATAACACAGGTCGTGTGGTTGTCCATTACCGGATGCTCAACAACTAAGCCAGCTTCTCCTCTTCTTATTGTCCAGTACCGGAGGCCATATAACTAATCCAGCTTCTCCTCCTCTTCTCATGGACGTTTGGAAAATATTTTATCTCTTTTTCTAATGATAGTTGGATTTCTTCGTATCTTGTCTTGTTTTGATCCAATCAATGTTATAATTGATAGTTGAACTTTTGCAATCGATGCAGCGATAAACAAAATATTTAGCTACCACAATATTAACATAGTTTACTAAACAAGTCTTTACACGAAATAAAAATTGTGAAATCACGTAATGTAGTTATAGTATCAAAAATCGACACCTGGACGATAATGCATCGATATAATCTTCACATTTCGTTCTCTTAGCATGTGGATCCGAGATAAGAGTTATTTAATGGTAGATTTCTTTCTAATTAGAGATATTAAATTCTAGGCATGTTCCCCTGAAATGGTACAAGAGTAGAGTTGTTCATGACCATCTCATTATTAGACAGAGTACTGACTTAGATAAACTCGACTCACCTCCTGCGATATCCGCGACCGCCGGTGTACCCAATGATGAAGGTTCTTTGGACATCGTCTAGTTAGTTCAAATTCTCTGCAACCTTTTTACCTGTCCGCCTGGTTGTGTTTTGGAGATTACTTTGGGGAATTATGATCAACAAACCAGAGTTATTAATCTAGGCTGGGGAAGACATTGCTGAATGTTTTCGAAGAGCTTTGAACATGAGAGGGCTAAGTATACACGTGGCAGCTCTTGTAAGCTTTCCTTTTTCGTTTGATCATGTTTCCAAGGTTTATTATTAAATGNTCAGTGAGCATTGAGATCAATCGGTGGGTATTTTTAATTTCTGTNGGGATTTGAGAAGATGATAGGAGGGATGTATCTGGGCGACATTGTCCGCAGAGGAATTCTTCGTATGTCACAAGGACCTATCTCATCCATTTTATATTGACGCTTTTTGTTCCAAGGTTCATTTCCTTTTGTGTCTTCTTTTGTATCTGTTTCAGTGTAGAGAAAAAAACGCAGAGCAGCCAGGCTAGCAGCAGCAGGTGTTGCAGGAATCTTGAAGAAGGTAGGGAGAAATGGGATGCTTTGCTTGCTAAAGTGTCACAAGAAATGGAATCTATGGAGGTCATTTGTGGTTTAAANGGGGCTTTATCTCAGCTGCGTAGAAGAAGGCATAAACTTGCATCATTTTTCAATACTTGTACAGAGTTGGGAGGTCATATATTGCGAGAAAGAAGGCTGCTATAGAGATCCGGGAGGAGTGGGAGAGTTTATTGAGTTGCCAATCTGATACACTGACCAACAGTTGGGTATGAAGCAGAGTATTGAGACCCTTTCTCTTCTTTATCAGATCTTTGGCTGTCCAACATCAAAAGATACAGGCAAGAGATATACACTTGCTTTGAGATTCTATCGGAAAGCATCAACTCTGATGGTATGATTGTTTTTCCTTTCCCTTGAAATGTTGGTCCTGCAAGGTCAGAAGATGACAATCAACCGGACACGAATTTGGCTGTTGAAGAATATGTTTTTCTAATACTGACAATTCCTTGACTCGTTTCCTACGTGCACTGGAGCACAAGAGCATACCAATGCCAAGCTTTCACACTATATTGGTAAAACTCATACTGAATTTTGTTAGATAGTTTTTTTGTCAAAGTCTCACAAAAGAATGTAGAGATAACATGGGTTGACTTGCTTTTTCTTTTTTTTTTTATCCCTGTTAGCTTTCCGGATGAACTGGTTGCTTTTTGTTTTTTTCCCATACAATCGAAGCACTTATTAAGTTGTGGCAGGTGACTGCAGATTTTGAGGGACAAAATCTTGACCAGAACATCGGAAATAGAGGATTTAGAGAAGAAAAGTTGTAGCATGGAGATTCCTTCTGTTGGATGGGCAGCTATTGGGAACATCATATCCCTGGGAACAGTTAGTGAAACCGATTTTATGGACCCACAAGAATCCAATCCAGGGATGTTTTATTGCGATTCTCGCTTAGAATCTCATGTCTCAGGTTGAAAACNTTGGAATTCAGGACTTTGAGGCAACATCGGATGCGACTGGGAAAGGAGAAAACTCTGTTAGGATTTTGTTTGTGGAACTGCTTCGGCCAGTATGTCAACAGTGGCATCTCGCGGAAGTGTTGGCAGAAAGAAATTCGTGTTATAGCAGATAAAGATGTGTCAACGGGTAATAAGAATGGATCAGAAACACTATACTTGTTTGTGGATACATTGTCTCTTCTTGGAGCTCTTTAGAGAGTGTCCTACTCCCTGAAAATGGTTGCACTGCTGACGATTCATCTCATGGATCTGTTAAAACTTCAATGGTACAAGAATGTACCCAATGATGAAGGTTCTTTGGACNTCGAATATGAAAACACACCGAAAGAGGAGGAAAAAGACGGCTTGGGAGGAGCACCTGTAACAGTTGAACTGGAACCTACAGAACCAACACTGGGGTTGGTTGAAGTTTCCATGGAAGCAAACGCAGAGAGAGTGGCCAGATGATTCAGGTTAAACTCGAGAGTGTCCCTGTNGGGATAGAAGAGATGTTCCTGAAAGCGCTTGCCCCACCCGACGAACCTGAAGATACAATACCGAGCTGCTACTCAGAGTTATTTAATGCGTCCAGCACAAAACCTCTGCACTGAAAGGACGCAAAACTGCAGCAGCAATCAGCGGGACTCAGAAACTGTTATACAGGCGAGCGAGCTTCACATAGCTCCCTNTCCGAGATATCATCTGCTGTTTGAAATGGAAGTTGGTGAAGGATGGACATTGGTGCTATAAGAACAGATCATTGGCCTTGCTTAGCTTATGTTGATGATTACTTAGAAGCTTCGTTTTTGCACTAGGAGAGACTTTTACTGTTTTTTATTCTTTTTGTGCCTTGACTACATAAAAGTTACCCAAACTAACCAACACAAAATGCCTGGATTATATTGTTTTGCTTTTGAGAAATTTATTTATTATTTTTGGGGGAAATAAGAAATTATTAGTTCAAGCGGAGAAAGGTAATTTGTATCGATTTGCTTAAGACCATCCA